GTACCCACCTCCTTCCCAGGCAGGCCCAGACACGGCAAGGGACAGTCTAACAGAACCTGCTCTCTGGGCAACCCTGGGCCACGGTGGAGCTCAGAGGGTCCAAGGCGAGGTGGTACCGAGATTTAAAAGAGGTCTTTTTTTTTTTTTAAGATTTTATTTATTCATTTGACACAGAGAGAGAGATCACAAGCAGGCAGGGAGGCAGGCAGAGAGAAAGGAGGAAGCAGGCCCTCCGCGGAGCAGAGAGCCCGATGCGGGGCTCGATCCCAGGACCCTGGGATCATGACCTGAGCCGAAGGCAGAGGCTTTAACCCACTGAGCCACCCAGGCGCCCCTAAAAGAGGTCTTGTACACTCTTGAAAAATGTACAGAATCAGTCCTGAGCCAAACATGGATACATGCCTTGCTTCAAAACAACAGTAACGGGGCTATGCAAAGTAACATTGTGTTACAGAGAACAATGCCAGCGTCCTAAGGAAAGGAATGAAACAGGAAAGAATGAAGCGAGAGGCCGCGGGGTAGCGGGGGGAGGGGGGGTGAATTTTGAGGGAGGGAGGTGGGTTTGTGGCAAGGAGGGGGAGGCATCCTGAGGGCAGTGGGATACGAATGGGGACAGTGAAGATTCAAGCAGGGTTTCGGTGTCAGCAGTTGGGGACAGCTACTTCTATGCACACAGAAAATGCACACCTGTGTGTACACGCTGACTTCGTTTGTTTGTTTGTTTGTTTTTAAGAGAGAAAACTACCTTGGGAGGGAAGGAGGAGGCAGGCCAGTGACCAGCACAGGAATTTAAGGCCTGTTGGCTACTTTTTGGCCAAACCACCAAACACATTCATGAAAAAGTAAGATCTTTATGGGCCAAATTCAACAGCAGGCCACCCATAGTCCAAGGAGAGAAGGTCTAAAACGGCTCTGGGAATCTGCCGTGTGGCTTTTCCTTGGTGAATGCAGCCAGAGAAGGGTTTGGATCTTAATTTGGCAGTGTTTAGAAACAGGGGAATTGTTAGGGTTGTGTAGGCCCAGCCAGAACAACTCCTAGGAACCTGAACTCACAACAACTGATGTAAAAGTCAGAATTATTAATTTACGGTGAGAGATGCGAGTTAGATCTCTCCAGAAATTAGCACATATCTTTGGCCAGCCACAAGTGAGTTCCGGATACTGTTAATCTGTTAATGTACATTATTTCTGTTTTTTTTTTAAATTTTATTTAATTTTTTCAGTGTTCCAAGATTCATTATTTAATTGTACATTATTTCTTTTTTTAAAAAAAATTTTAAGTTTTTTTATTTGAGAGAGAGAGAGCATGAGAGGGGAGAAGGTCAGAGGGAGAGGCAGACTCCCCACGGAGCTGGGAGCCCAATGTGGGACTTGATCCCGGAACTCCAGGATCATGACCTGAGCCGAAGTCAGTGAGTTAACCGACTGAGCCACCCAGGCGCCTAATTGTACATTATTTCTTAAAATAAATTCTCATTTGATTCATTTTGGTTATAGCTTTTTTGGTTTTGCTTTGTTTTGTTTTGAGTCTACTTTATCCTTTTACCTTCAGTGTTTCTCGACTTTTCTTCTTCTGGATTTAGAGATTATTCATTGTCTCATCTTGGGCATTTCATTTTCTGTTTGGTTGGGTGTCACAGACATTTATGCACCGTGTACCTGCAAAACACTCAGATGAGGGAGACATCGTGAGAGCTTTACCAATCATCAAGGGGAGGGAGAAGTCGAGAGAACATTCCAACTGAATCTGTAAATGGAATGTACAGCAGGCCCAGGGCAACACCTGCCCCCAATGGCAGGGATGGAGGAAATCTAGGAAGACTTCCTGGAAGATGTAGTGCCTGAGGAGGCTGTAAAGGCCACAAGTGGGAAAGGGAATTTAGGCCAAAGATCAGCAAGAGCCTGGAGCAGAGATAACCTGATTAGGGCCTAGGGGGCATTTGGATTTAGCTCTGCTAAAGGATCCGGGAGTGGTGGGGGGGGAGGTGAGGAAGAAAAAGCAGGCAAGGAGCCAGCTTCCAGGGGCTATTAGAGACCGGTTTAAGGAGAGCTTGACTTTCCCATCAGCTTCAGGGGATGGGGAAGGGTTCAGACAGGCCCACAGTGTTTTTGGGTAGGCCTTTTGAACATACATATATATTTTTATTTTATTTATTTGACAGAGAGAGACACAGCAAGAGAGGGAACACAGGCATGGGGAGGGGGAGAGGGAGAAGCAGGCTTCCTGCTGAGCAGGGAGGCTGATGTGGGGCTCCATCCCAGGACCCTGGGATCATGACCTGAGCCGAAGGCAGATGCTTAACCGACTGAGCCACCCAGGCGCCCCCGAACATGTTCCTCTATTGGGCAGTTTGAGTGATGGACTTGGCCATTCCAGTAATGCAGCTGAAGATGGAGAGGCGCTCTATTTGGGCAATTAGGCGGAGGGAAAAGAGTGGCTTGAGGACTATTTGAGAAGGAAATTTAGCACAATTTGTTGCTGGATATTTACATGGGGTGAGGGAAAGAGAGGAGACCAGGATGCTCTTGGCCAGGAAGGTGGGTGTTAGGGTCTGTATCAACCTGGATCCAATCAGAACACCGAAACCACTCTGTACAGCCTTTAAAACAGAGGGAATTAATGCCGGGCTTGGTTACATCGTGATGGCAGCCCAACCAGAGGACAACCAGCAGCTGTTAGCACTTCCCGACCAGAGCCCAGGGAGGGGAGGGTTTGGAGAGGGCGGGAGGCTGGAACCACTGTGCGCCTCTCTGGTTGGAGCAGAGAAGGAGGGAGAGGAAGTTCCTGCCTCTCTCGTCCTTTGCCCTCCAGTATCCCAGTGACCCCCGGTGGCCAGATACTCCTGGACACCAGGGAGCCTGGAAAGCAGGAAAGGGCAAGGATCTGGTCTGAACTCTAGCACAGCAGCCCAAGGGGGCACAGTGCAGAAAAAGAGAGGCAGCTTACGGGAGGTGGGGGGATGGCCCTGTATCTGGGCATGGTGAATCCTGCAGGGAGACGACCAGCAGGCCCTTCCTGAGCCCACCTTTCCAAAGATCGGGGCGGGGGAGGCGAGGTCTGTATGTGCACATGCGGCATTTACTGGACTACAGGCCTAGTTAGAGTGGTGAGAGCCATAGCCATGGATGGGCTTGGGGGTGTTTGTTCCTTCCAGGAAACCTCTAACTTTTCCTTCCAAAATGCTTGCACCATTTATACTCCCAGCCTTCTTACAGAGTCTACTTTGCTTCACGTTCTCTCCAACATGTAGTCTTTTTAATTTTAGCTCTTCTAGTGGGTGTGAAATGGCCCTCGGTGTGGTTTTAATTTGCATTTCTCTGGTAGCATTTGAGACTGAGCACTTTAGGAAAGGCCCACGTGAACTGTACCTCAAGGAGGTAGCGATCTGAGGCTTCTTTGAGAGACTCCGAAGGGGGAGTTAGGGTGGGAATGTGGCTGGCCAAAGGCTCTTCCCAACGTCTAGGTCTCAGATTACACTCCCAGGCAGGTTGGAGGCCCATCTGTCATCTCACCAGAATTTGGGGGCTCCTCTGAGGGCTCGGCTACAGGTGTGAACTTGGAGCCTGACAAACCCAGGTTGAAATCCTCACATCACTGCTTGCTTGCAGCGATGGTGCACACTCAGTTTTTTCATCTGTAAAATGGGAACAGTATCTTTCTGTAGGCTTGCCATGGGAATTGAAGCATATAATGTTGGCAAAGCAGCCAACTAGGTATGGGAGACGTAGTATCAGCTCAGCAACGGAAGCAATTGTCTTCAGTTTTCTCAAGACCTGCTGGGGATCGCCTTTACTCCATAGACGAGGAAGGGAGGCCTAGGTTAGTTACCTCCAAAGCAACCTGCTCATTAGGGCAGCTTTGGGATAAACCCTGTCTCCTCAGCCCCTTCCAACCTGCCCTCACACTATATATCACTCACTGATACAGTGTCAGACGTGAGACCTGTCTTTGTTTGAATCATTGTTTCAGTGATTTCAACTATTCACTGATTCAGTGATGGGGCACAGAACTCATCACCAGGAACACATCTCCATCTTAAACTTTTAAGAGTTCTCACAAGGCTCGGGCTCAGGCCCCTACAGTGTTGCTCCCGTTCGTTTGCTTTTGCAAGACGCCAGCACCCGCGTCGTAAGTGCAGGGTGAATCCTGTCCCGGTTACACCTCGTGTCACCGTCCCTCCCCAGCCCCAAAGGCAGGGACTGGGGGGGGGGGGGCGCGGGCTCCCCCAGCAACTCACCCGCCCGCCCGCTCCAGACCTCCCCGCCAGGAAAGACCGGGCTGACCGCGTCGTGTGCAGGAGGTCGTCGTCTGGGGCGGGGGGGGGGGGGGGCGTTTATGCCCACCCTCTGCCCCCGTGAGAGTGCCAGGGCCTGGGTCGGGCTCCGAGCACGCCCCTCCCCCCACCCCGGGAGGTCGGGAAGGCACGGTTTGGGTGAAAAGGAGCCTTAAAACACTGCAGGAGCAGCGCGCATTTTCCAGCACTCCACCGGAAGCCTCAGGTAATCGTCACGGGGTCAGCAAGGGGGCTGGGCACTGCAAGCGCCCGCGCAGCCCGGACACTTCCGAAGTCAAAGGCCACACTCCCCCTACGCCCCCAACCTTCCAACAGCTCCTCTCGGCCTCCCCGGCTGCCCTCATCGCTCCCCGTCCGCGTCTAGGTCACTAAAGGGCTCCGGAGAGGGAGGCCGAGGCCCCGGGCCACCAGCTGAACGCGGCACGCGCAAGGAGCCCGCACTCCGAGGCTGCGCCCGCCGCACACCCGCGGCAGACCCGGAAGCGGCCGCCTCACGTGCTCTCCGGGAACGCGCGGGGCTCCGGCCCAGGGGGCGGGGTGACTCCGGCTCTGCGTGTTTGCGTCATCGCGTAGGCTGGAGGGGCCGCGGGGGGCAGGGTGACGTATAGGCCACGTAGAACGGCTGTGGGCGGGCCGAGGGAGCGGGGACGCAGCTAGCCCCGTCTCTTAAAGCCGCCACGACCTTCCGAGTCCCGCAGCGCGGGCCGCCAGTCGCGGCGCCTTTAAGCGTCGCTGTGACACGTGTGTGAGGCGCCCGAGGCCCGGATGGTGCGTGTGCGGGGCCCGGGCCGAGTAGACGCCAGCGCCGCGGGCCTGCAGCCGGGCCCGCCGAGGGCCGGGTAGGCTGGGGCCGGGTCTCGGCGGCGCGCAGGCCGACGGGAGGCTGCGCGTCTGGCCGGGTGGAGGGCTTCGGCTGGGCCGGAGGCGCGGGAAGGTGCGGCCTGAAGGGGGGCGCACCGGGGAAGACACGGCCGCGCGGCCGCGAGGGGCTCGGGGGCCCGTGGGGAGGGCCCAGGGCTACTTCGTTAGCGAGCGGTTCGGGGCCGTGCTGTCCGGGAGAGGCTTAGGGGTCCGCGGGGAGGTCAGGGGCGCGCGGTCTGCGAAGACTCCGGGGTGCGGGGAGGTCGGGGGCTTACGGTCCGTCCCGTGAGCGGTTCGGCGGTCCACGGGGAGGTCAGGGGCGCGCGGTCCGCAAGGACTCAGGATCCGCAGGAAAGGCCCAGGGCTGCGCAGTCCGCGAGGGGCTGGGGGGTCCGCAGAGAGGGTCGGGGAGGCGCGCGCTTTGCTGTTCCCGGGGAACCCCGACCGGTGGTGGGGGAGAGAGCTGCCCCAGCCAGGAGCCCCGGGGAGTCGGGGAAGGCAGTGGTCTCTGTCGGTCTTGGGCACAGCCGTTTCCCAAGGAAGCATCACCAGGGCAGGACCCAGACTTCCCCTGGAATACCTTAAGTCAAAATCTGGAGGAGCCTGTTCTGCTGGACAGCACGGCTGAAATTTCATTTTCCCCCCCTTTTAGTAAGAAATGTGGGAAAGACTTATCCCTGGAGACGGTAACCTTCTTCAGGGTCATGATTATGGTGAATGTGGGTGGGTGGGGACAAGCTGTGGGGTTGTAAAATACCCTGTGTTTTATTCGGGAGAGTTGAGCCTCCCCTGGGGTCCTAGGGGCGAGGCAGAGGAGCTTCTGAAACGGAGACAGATGAGAGAGGAAAGCATGGTGGCCAGCCTGGTTTCTGTAAGAGACGCCTAGAACCAGGCCTCCAAGGAGAGGGAGGCTCTGCTTACCCTTTCCCGGCTGGAGACCGGTGTTCTGCAGGCTCTGCGGGACCGGAGGCCCCAGTGAAAGTGCCCCTGGGAGGCCCCAGGCTCTGTCCATCTGGGCTCCTCCCCCACCAGCACGTGGTTGACCCTGTGAGTCTTGGTTGCATTTCATCCCGGAAAAGTGCATTTAGAGGGAGGAGGGGGAGAGAATATGCTTGAAGGGTGTTCTGCGGATGCTGTTTTCCTTCTCGACGTAGAAAGGGGCCTGGAGGAGCCTGAGTGGTTCCTGGACGGTGGAGCGGAGGGAGCACCCTTGCCAGGTTTTGAAGCACGTCCTGTCAAACGTGTACATCAGAGGGCCTTCTGATTACAAGGACATTTTTCTCTGGGTTCCTACACCTTAGAGCACATTTTTTGGGTTATTGTTGATGTTTTGGGTGGAACTGGTGACATAGAGGTCGATCTTTGTCAGAAATTGAAAAATTGTTCAAAATTTCTGACTTCCACCATGAGGAGTAGGCTGTGGGATAGATGTTCTTTAAATCTCTTCTCTTGAGATAAATTGGGTTATTATCTGCCGAGTTCTGTTTGTCGTCTTGCTGTTTGATTCCTGAACATTTGCCCTTGGGCCCATGTCCGCCTGTCCACGTGGAGGTACGAGTTTGGACTAAGACAGGGATATTATAAGGAGATTTTTGTGAGACTGGAAGTTTCACCTTAGCGATTGGCTTTTATTCTGAGATCATGTTCATCATGCCCCCATTTATTTTGGTGTTGGTATACTTTTATTTATGGCTGTGAGGCATGATGTATCTGAAATTTGTTGTCAGTAATGTGGGGACAGGAAAGGAATCCGGAGTGGCTTGCGCAGCAATGACTGATGCTGAGTAAGGGAACGCGGTGGTCCTGTGTTGTTCCCACCACCTTGTACATATTTGAATGCTTGCGCAAAAATACATTGTTAAGTATTTTAATTTAATGTAGTTACAGTGATTGTGGATGGTAGTTGAAGGAAAAATATCTGCCCTTAGCAAAGTGAAAATGCGGTAATTCTTACTGTTCCTTCGATTCTTTTCCTTTCTTTTTTTGGAAATTCTGGTTTATGAAATCTGGATGTCGGACCTTTCACTCTTTGGAGAGTGATTTAGACTGGAGTTCACTGAAGATTTTTGCTCACTGGGCTTGTCACGGGCCTGAAGGTTAAGATACCAAGCCAAGGGCAGTGTTTTCCTATCACGCACATCGTAGTAACTTGTAGCGAGTCCGTTCAGTTCTTCCCCAGACTCCCGAATCCTCCCAGCTCCGTCCATACTCCTTCAAACAGACTCTTCCAGACAGACAGCCTGCCTTCCCGCCCTGGGTCGGTGCCGTGGGGCTGAGATGGTGGAAGAGAGCGGCCTCATGTGGTGCCCTGTTCACCCCACAGATTCTGACGCCTCTTCGGGACAACAGACTTGCAGCTTTGGTGATTTCATGGGGCGCAGCCAAGGAGCTCATGAACCGGAGGGTCCTGCCCTGTGCCTGCCCAGTCTGGCCGGAACCTGACCCCATGCTGCAGCCCCAACACGCCCGAGGTCAGCCGTCCCAGGTGAGCCAGCCCAGACTTCGGAGTCGTTTTTCATTTCCCCACGTCGCTGGCTTGTAGCCGAGGAGCAGTGCTTCAGTGGGTGGGAACACTTCGATAATTCCTCTTGGGAAAGGTTCTTTTATTTCCTCAAATCAAAGAACTTGTGCTTGCTTTTTTTTTTTTTTTTAAGATTTTATTTATTTGACGCAGACACACACAGAGAGAAAGGGCACACAAGTAGGGGGAGTGGGAGAGGGAGTACAGGGCTCCCGCCGAGCAGGGAGCCGGATGTGGGGCTCGATCCCAGGACCCTGGATCACAACCTGAGCCGAAGGCAGACCCTTAACGACTGAGCCACCCAGGCGCCCTTTGTGCTTGCTTTTTTTTGGGGGGGCGGGAAGTCTCTTACATTTTTACTCATTGCAGAACTAATCTCTCTACCCAACATGGGGCTCAAACCTTCAGCCCCAAGATGAAGAGGCGCTCACTGTACAGACTCAGCCCCCAGATGCCCCTGCAGAAATTTTTTTTTTTTGAGATTTTATGTATTTATTTCATAGAGACAGAGAGTATGTGCACAAACACGGGGAGCCACAGGCAGAGGGAGAAGCGGGCTTCCTAACAAGCAGGAGCCTGATGTGGGGCTCAATCCCAGGACGCTGAGATCACGACCTGAGCCGAAGGCAGATACCCAACCAACTGAACCCCCAAATATGCCTCCCCCTGCCCACACAAGTTTTTTTTTTTTTTAAAGAATTTATTTATTTATTTGACAGAAATCACAAGTAGGCAGAGAGGCAGGCAGAGAGAGGAGGGAAGCAGGCTCCCCACTGAGCAGAGAGCCCAATGTGGGGCTCGATCCCAGGACCCTGAGATCATGACCTGAGCCAAAGGCAGAGGCTTTAACCCACTGAGCCACCCAGGCGCCCCCACACAAGTTTTTATAGATAAAGAAATTTGACCTGTGTGGGGAGTGAGATGCTCCATAAGGATACGGCTTAGTAAGAGATGCTGTCACTAAGTTTCAGGCTCCTCCTGCCACGGTGGTCCCCTGTGGGCTGGCTGGATGCCAGATACCTAACGGAGTCCTTTTTCTGATGACCGTGAGCAGTTAACCAACTTATTTTTCTAACTGTGACTCAGATTGCCTTTGAGCTCTGGCTGGGATGGTTGAGTTGAAAGGTAGTGACTTGCAATCAGAGGTGATTGGGGGGGATTCCTGGTCAGTCGTGTTTCCAGCACTGCAGCACGCTCTCACCACGGTAACCTCAAATCCACCTTTGGTGCTGCTTTCAGCCCCCTGTTTTACACAGAATAGGGGAGCTGGGAGGTCACAGTGGTTGTCCCTGGAATTTAGGGCCGATAGGTGCGGGAATAAGCCAGGCCTGCCGCTCTCCACCCGGAGCCATCATTTCCCTCTTGAGATCTGGGTGTCTTGCGTGTACCGTGCCAGTCTCACCACCGTCCCGTGTCCCCTCCCTCACTTTCAGAACGATCATCTGTACAAGTGCTGTCCGCTAACACAGGCCACACGTATAATTTAAAATTTTCCGGTAGCCACGTTAAATAATAAAAAGCAAGTGAAATTGATTTTCATGTTCCTTAACCCAGTGTGTGTAAAATATTATCATTTCAGCCTGTAACCAGGCTCAGAATTATTGAGATGTTTTACATTCTTTCGCCAAGTCTTTGAGATCTGTTGCGTGTGTTGCACTTACAGTGCGTGTCGGTGTGGACTCGCAGCGTTTCAGTGATGACCCGTGCCCTCTGGCCTTCACTTGGAAGAGCCCGAGCCCGAGCACAGAGGTGTGCGCCGCAACTCACCACGCTTGTTCTGGAAGCGTGTGGGTGTGTGTGTGCAGCCGGAGCGTCTTCCGAGCACCAGTGTCACCCGTTCTTGAGCACACGTTAGGACCACGTGGTCACCCCCAAAGGAGATTGCACCAAGCCGAGGCCTGTAGTCGCTCAACAAGGACATGCTGCGGGGCCCCTCCGGCTTCCCAGCGCCGCCATCGTCTCTTTAGTGCTGTTTGTGGAAGTGCCTTCCCTTCCTGACGGAGGTGTGGGCTCTGTCATGGCGGTCGGTAGTGTGTCTCCGTGTCTCACGCCTCCTTCGTGGGGCTGGCAGCCAAGCCAGAGTAACCTTGGTGGTGCTCAGTGTCCAGAAAGACCAGAGGGGACTTTCAGAGAAGTGACGCTTTGTTCCTGGGACTTAGTTACTCGTCACTATGTGCTCCTTCTTGTCCCCACAGTGATGCACCATGCCCATAGTCGATAAGCTGAAGGAAGCCCTGAAACCCGGCCGCAAGGACTCGGCCGACGATGGGGAGCTGGGGAAGCTTCTGGCCTCCTCTGCCAAGAAGGTCCTTTTACAGAAGATCGAGTTCGAGCCAGCCAGCAAGAGTTTCTCCTATCAGCTGGAGTCCTTAAAGAGCAAATATGTCTTGCTGAACCCTAAAACGGAGGGAGCGAGTCGCCACAGGAGTGCAGACGAGCCACAGGCCAGGAGACAGGGTACGGACGCCCAGGGGGTGGGCAGAAGGGGCCCCACCCTTGTGTGTTGGCCGTGCGGTAGACGGAGTGTTGACAGATTAGGGGGGACAAGAGCAGGATGTGGTCGGAGTGGAGACACTTCTCTGGGGTCAGTGCTCGATAGTTACAGAAGTAGTGACGCGGGGTTGCCTCACGATGGCATCTGTATCTTTAGGAACCCTTGGGACTGTGTGTGTTTGATAAGATCAAAAGCGGGGCTAGGAAACGAGCGGGAGAAACGGGCCGGGCTTCGGAGTGCCGAGGCCTGGCTCTAGCTCTTCGTTCCCCGGGTGTCCTCTCCTCCTCCACGGAGGGCTCCTGGAATTCCAGACCTGAGCAGTCCGTGGGAGCCACGGGATGACTGGGTTTTCACTGGGGCTTTCTAATAACTTCCAGGGGACACCGGTTACCCTTCGACACCGCGTCTTGTCAAGTGCATGTGGAGTGTGCCTGTCAGTGATTTCTTTTTCATGACCCCCCTGGGCGCAGACTTAAGCCCTGCTTTCCTCCCTGTCCCTTTCTCGCAGGCAGCGAGCACGCCTACGAGAGCAGCGGTGATGGCGTCCCCGCCCCGCAGAAAGTGCTCTTCCCCACGGAGCGGCTGTCGCTGAAGTGGGAGCGGGTTTACCGCGTGGGAGCGGGACTTCACAACCTCGGCAACACCTGCTTCCTGAATTCGACCCTCCAGTGCTTGACCTACACCCCGCCTCTGGCCAGCTACCTGCTCTCCAAGGAGCATACTCGCAACTGTGAGTGCCGCTGGCGGCTGCGGGTGGGCTGGGAGGCGGGGGACCGGCCGGTCTCCTGGGGAGACGGACCCATGCGGCCATGGTGCTAGCAGCCCTCGGCCCAGGGCAGATTCAGGAGTGGAGCCGGCGACGTAGTGGCTGACGAAAGCTCCGTCGGCCGTGTGCCCGCTGTGGGCCAGGCCGTGGGAGCCGGGCACTGGGGTAGAGTATTGGTCCCAGCCTGTTCTGGGAATGAGTACCCAAGGGGAGAAAGGCTGTTTTTAAAAAACACGTACAAAACATGGACCTTCGATGACCCCACATCCACAGGGGTACCCGTCTGTGCTGCGTCCCTTACGTGGTGCGCCCCAGAGGAGAGATGTGAGAGGACAAACTGGGATAAAATGTCACAGAGCAGAACCGGAGCAAGCAGAAAGCCTGCTGACTATTCAAGAAATTGGGTTGGTGGTTAAAAATCTTCCCATGAAGAGAATACCAGGCTGAGATCGTTTCTGGGCGAGCTTTATGAAAACGTAGAGAAACAGATTCTGCCAGAGAATAGGGAACCCTCAGCTCACTTTATTAGATTCTTGGGTAACAGTTAAGCAGGTACAGGAGGAGAAAGCAACCATACGGTCCCATTTGCGAGTGAAGTTACAGAATTTCTAGACCGAATACTGCCGCAGGCAGTCATCCCTGCCACACCGCGAGCAGCTTGTGTTTGTCCTGGGGATGCAGGGCTGTCCTCGGAGTGTCACCATGGAGCGCACACAGCACGGCAGGTGAACCCACTCCTCCGGAGGTGGGTCTGCTGGGCCCTGTCCTGGCTCTGCCCCTGAAGTGCTGTGATCCCTGGAATGTTACCTAACCTTCTAGAAGCTCCCTGTTCCTCATCGGCCAAGTAAGAGTATCATCTCCCCAATAGAGCTCTTGGGAAGCTTGAGCCACTGACGTAAAGTGCTCAGAATAGTACTTGGCGCACGGTAAGCGCTACCAAAGAGACTGCTAAGTTTGCTTCCCTAATTACTGTATCAACAGATTGAAAGAGAGAGAGGTTGCCTGAAAGTAGTGCCCCCAGAAGAAGTTTATGATAAACTAGCGAAGGCGCAACAGGAAGGAGTTCCCTTACCTTGATAAAGGGCATCTACTAAGCACTACAAAAAAGCGTTCTAGATCGGAAAATATTGGAAGCACACCCTTCAGAATGCAGAGGGAAGCAAGGGCCTCTCGCCACTTGTGCCGAAGATGTGTCGGTGCTACCCCAGCCGTGACCTAGGAGGCAAAAGGAGGGAGCGTGCTGTTGTTCCCTGAAAATGACATTCCTGCATTAAAAAGCTAGAGAATCGGGCGCCTGAGTGGCTCAGTGGGTTAAGCCTCTGCCTTCAGCTCAGGTCATGATCTCAGGGTCCTGGGATTGAGCCCCACATCAGGCTCTCTGCTTGGCAGGGAGCCTGCTTTCCCCCCTCTCTCTGTGCCTGCCTCTCTGTCTACTTGTGATCTCTGTCTGTCAAATAAATAAATAAAATCTTTAAAAAAAAAAAAGAAAAAGCTAGAGAATCTAAGTAGAAATTTGGCAGCGTGATGAGATATGACATTAGTGTAAAGAAAAAGTTAGTTGAATATCTCTACACCAAATAACAAAGTTTTTAAAAGAATTTTGCCACCATAGGGGCGCCTGGGTGGCTCAGTGGGTTAAAGACTCTGCCTTCGGCTCAGGCCATGATCTCAGGGTCCTGGGATGGAGCCCCGCATCGGGCTCTCTGCTCAGCTGGGAGCCTGCCTCCCCGTCTCTCTCTGCCTGCCTCTCTGCCTGCTTGTCTCTGTCAAATAAATAAAATCTTAAAAACAAGTTTTTTTTCCACTGTAAAATTTAGAATCACAACAAAAGTGATAGAGCATCTAGGTTTAAATTTACCAAGAAATCCTTCACTAGAAGACATGACACAGTTGTCTACATACCTGAAGAGAGCTGCTTTCAGAGGGAAGCCTCACTATCACAAAAATGTTGATTCTCCCCCAATTAACGTGACTCTACCTGATTCTAACATTTATATGGAAAAGCAGGGCGGAGGACCAATCACCAAGGCTCCTCTGAAGGAGACTATGAGGACAGAGCCACCTGAGCGACTATGAAGTCTTGTCAAGTTAGATTAAGACATCATAGTTTTGGGTCAGGGAGGGGACCTGCTCACTGAAGGAATGGAATAGAGCCCAGGGACCTGCGTACACCTGGAGGTGTGTGACGTGTTGGTTCTTCACGTGGCTCCCATTTGAAATAAATGAAACTTTACAGGAACTCGGGCTTACGTATGGAAGAAGCGAATAGGATCCCCATTTCACAGCATACCTGTGCACAGAGAACGCGTTAAAAATTTAATATCAGGGGCGCCTGGGTGGCTCAGTGGGTTAAGCCACTGCCTTCGGCTCAGGTCATGATCTCAGGGTCCTGGGATCGAGTCCCGCATCGGGGGGGGTCTCTGCTCAGCAGGGAGCCTGCTTCCCTTCCTCTCTCTGCCTGCCTCTCTGCCTACCTGTGATCTCTCTCTGTCAAATAAATAAATAAAATCTTTAAAAAAATTTAATATCAAAAGTAAATGTTAAGATTCTTACAACAAACATTGGTAAATCTCCTTCTGACCTTGGTATGGGAGATTTCTTAAGGCTCAGAAGGCACCAACTATAAAAGAAAAATGACACATTCAGCTGCATTGAAGTTAACATTGTTTCCAGAAAACACTTAAAGGGCAAACAGGGAGCTACGAACTGGAGGCAAGACCCAGGACACACAACCCACAAAGGATCGCTACCAAGAATGTGGAAATAATTCAGACCAACAAGGGAAAGAGCACTCATAAAAAAGCAAAAGAAAATGATGAACCGGCATTTTACAGAAGAGGAAACTCGTGGTTTGAGTGTAGGGAGAGACAGGAACCAGGGACATGCTCTCGAAGTGACAGGTGCAGTGACACCTTTGTGATGGGTGTGCCAGCAGAGGCCGAGCGGTACTAAGTGTCAGCATGAGGATGAGGGAGAACCTTCTATGCTGGTCTGAACTGGCCTCAGCTTCCAGGCAACCTACCAGCCAGCGGGTCTCCACCTGCAGAAGAGCTCTGGTCTGTGCCTGCCAGGACGCCTGTGTAAAATCGTCTGTAGGCAGCAAACTAAGCCGCTCAGGTGCCCGTCAGCAGGATGGATGCTTGAAACGCGGTGTGGGCCCCTGCAGGAGTAGCAGCGAGGCGGGGGAAGGAGGACCGCTCCGTGCGCACAGCCGCCTAATCCCCAGAAAAGCCCCAAATGTTGCGTCCAGCCTGAATGGTTATTTATGGAGTTGGAAAACAAGACGATGCAGTGTTTAGGTATCCACGTAGGGGATAAGACTTAAAAAATGATTTTTTTAAATTGGTGAACAATGAAAATAAGTCAGGAAATCTGGATAGAGCCAGAGGCAGGGAGATGGGAGCAAGAGAGGTGCAGCGTTCAGATACGTGCTTGTGTGATGTGTTCGGGGAGGTTCATTATGTTGCTTCTTTTTAAATGAGTGAAAGGTGACATGCGCTGGAAATGGCATTTTAAGCATCTTGTGATGGTGATGGCCCCGCGGTGGCTGGAGTTGCCATACCGAGGCACCGGCAGGTGAAGTCGGTCATAAATCTGTTTCGGTAGTGACCTTGGTGATGTCGTGGGCGTTCTGGGTAGACTTTTAGCAAGACTTGACTGGGCTGTCATTGTGGGGGTTTTTTGTTTTTTTTGTCTTTTTAAGCCTTTTTTTTTTTTTTTTTTTTTTTTAGAGGGAGGGAGTGCCCACTTGGTGGGGGGAGGGACAGAGTGGGGGAGCGAGAGACTCTCAAGCTGACTCAGAGGCCCAGTGCAGAGCCTGAGGTGGGGCTCAGTCCCGTGACCTTGAGGTCATGACCTGAGCTCAGATCAAGAGTCAGACACTCAGCTGACTGAGCCCTCCGGCACCCGGCACCGTTCTTCTCTCATGACTGTGGTGAGGAGACCCCGCTCTCCGGACGTGGGTCACTCTGTCCTTCTCTTGTTCACCCAGCTTCCTTGGCAGGACCTTCCTCAGCTCGGTTAGGGTTGGTGGAGCCAAAGTTGGTGACACCGGAAATCCCCGTAACCCGCCACACGTGCTCTGCAGCCCATGGGAGCAAGGGCGTGAGTGGGAGCAGCTGGGATTGGCCCCTCTTCGTGGTGGGCTCTCTCGCCCTCCCTCAGGATGCCTGTGCTGTGAAGGCCCCAGGGTGCCAGGGTCCCCCTGCATCACTCTGAAAATCAGCAATTGTGAATGCTTGTGTTTAAGTTCTTTTAATAACATGTCTTACTTTTTTGCCTAAATTTGAGCCCCTCAGGCATTATTGTCATTTTAAAAATAATTAATGGTTAGGGTTAGAAGAATCCAAAAGCTCTGGAATGAGAAGTGAAAGTCTCCCCTTTTTGTAAAGGTGCTCATATAAACTTTTCTAAGAATCCTCCAGAGGGGTGTGTATATAGTAGCATTTTAAAAAATTTTTTTTAATTTGGGGGGGTTTAGCATTTTTTAAACTTTTATTTATTTCATTAATTTATTTTTTAAAGGATTTTATCTATTTATTTGAGAGAGAGAGATCACAAGCAGGCAGAGAGGCAGGCAGAGAGAGAGAGGAAAGCAGGCTCCCCACTGAGCACAGAGCCTTACGTGGGGCTCGATCCCAGGACCCTGGGACCATGACCTGGGCCGAAGACAGAGGCTTAACCCACTGAGCCACCCAAGTGCCCCTAGCATTTTTTTTTTAGATAAAACTTTGGTATTGCAGTAAATGCATATAATGTAAAATTTACCATTTTAAAAGTTTTTCTTTTAATTTTGTTTCCCCAAGTACTCTCTATGCCCAGCGTAGGGCTCAAACTCATGACCGTTGGGTCGAGTCGAATGCTCCACTGACCGAGCCAGCCGGGTGCCCCGGGATCGACCACTTCTGGGTGTACAGCTCAGAGGCGTTAAAAACATCTACGTTATGGTGAAGCCGTCCATCCCCAGAGCTCCTTCCTCTTGCCACACAGCAGCCCTACCCCTTCAACCCTGGCTGCCCACCCCCTCCCCTAGCCCCTGGCGCCCCCCTCCTCCCTTCCGTCTGTGAGCTGGGCGACTCCAGCCACTCGCAGAATCAGAACCCTACAGTATTGATCTTCCGGTGCATGGCCGGCTTCACGCGGCATCACGTCCTCAAGGTTCATCTGTGGTGGCGTGGCAAGTGTCAGATCTGCTTTTAAGGCTGAGTGATAGTCTGTTGTGCGCACATCCTGCATTTCTTACCCATTCATTTGTTGGTGGACGCTTGGCTTCTGTTAGGTCTTGCGAATAACGCTGGGAAGAGGCTGGTACACGGAACCTGTTCAAGCCCTGCTTTCATTTCTTTTGCATGTAAACCCACAAGTGGGATTGCTGTTTGGGAATTCTGTTGTTAATTGCTTGAGGGAGTGCCCTCCTGTTTTCCACAGTTGCTGGAGCAGTGTGCATCCCTAGCAACGGTGCACAGGGAGTGGTCCCCATCCCTCCACATCTTTGCCAGCCTGAGCTGTGTTCTGTTTCTAAAGACCACAGGCCGCAGGCTGCTTTGTTACTGACTTGGAGTGGGTCGAAGTACCTGGGTGAGGAGAGCTGTTGCACGGGGAGGACAGCTGGTTTGTGGTGCATTGTGTGTTACGACCGGATCTGCTTGGGCGGTACTGGAGTGTATCTGAGACAGCACTGAACGTGGGTTTGCCCTTGGACCCAGAAGCCTGTGGTGAGTTTATGCCTTCGAGAAGGTTGGACACAGAGACAGGTGCAGGATTGTCTGTGATAGCAGGAAGGATCCGTGTGTGTCAGCAGGAACACGTACGTGAACTGTGGTCTCTCCGTTGGGTGAGAGGCTCTAGTCTATGTGGAGGACCCAGAGCTGCATCAGGACCGCTGGCCAGTACATACCACGTGGCGTAGTTTGTGCAAAGCAAGGTTAACCACACCTGCTGCGTGTGGTCTGCACGTGTGTTGGCGCAGGAACTACGTTAACGGGAGCAGTCGGGAGCCACTGAGGTTAGTGGTTCCTCCAGTGAGAGACTCCGGGCAGTGCGACGGAGGGGACGTCACTGTGACGTGGCATTTTACTTTGAAGATATCTCGACTGGAGCTGAGCGGTACAGGCTTTGTGCTTTGTGTGTAAAAGATCTCTTAGTTTGCAGTAAAGGTTAGAAGGCACTACTCTCCAGCCTGCTGCCGCAGCAGCAACAGCGTTTCGGATGTGGCACGGACTGGCGGGCCCGGCCTGTGGTCTCAGTTGGGCCCCCTTTGTAAGCCAAGCTCTGCCTGCACCTGTTTCTGTACAGTCTGTGGCCGCGCGCTCTGGCCGCCTGGGCTCTCCGCAGGCAGAGCCGTGTCCGCGTGGACAGGGGATTCCACGTTTGAGGAGCAGACTCGGGGTTGTCTGGAATCCCTGGAACGTTCTCACTGACCACGTGGCACAGGTTAGAAGGTAGACGACGTGTTGTTGTAAGCTTCCTGTTGAGAATCAGGCTTCCTCTTCTTATCAGGAACTAGCACCAAGGGCACGCGGAGAGGGCTCGCACGGGTCAGTAGCACGAGCCTGGGGTGGGGTGCGTGTGGGGCCCGCAATCTGGATGGGGGCGTCGGGAGCGAGTGGGGAGCTCTGACCAACCAGGACCGCCTCGTGCCGCGCAGGTCACCAAGGCAGCTTCTGCATGCTGTGCCTCATGCAGAACCACATGGTCCAGGCCTTCGCCAACAGCGGCAACGCCATCAAGCCCGTCTCCTTCATCCGAGATCTGAAAAGTAAGAGTCCCCCGGCCCCACCAGCTCAGCCCGAGTCTGGTGGCGCTGGGGGCGCAGGGCACTGGGGATGTGGGGAGGAGTCAGCAGCGAGCCCCAGGAGTCCTGTGACTTCCCGTCACAGACTTCGGAGCACGTGGTAGTACCGACTGAGGGGCTGGTGTGGGGCGGGAGGCGGGGGGCGCTGACCCCTTAACGGACGGAGGCTCGGGCCAGCTGGGGGCTGAGTCTCAGGGAGGAGGGGGAGGCTGGGGCTTTTCCGAATGTCCCAGGACCAATTAGCACCGATCGCCTGTTCGCTCAGTAGAAGACACAAGGTCAGTTGGTTTCGGAAACCTTGGGCGGCGTCCTTGTGACCTGCCTGTGCTCTGTGCCGGCTCCTGGAAAACGAGCTCACCAGTGGCTTTCCCACCCTTAGTGCCCGCTGATGCGCGGCATCTGTGCCTTCCTGTGGAGTATGGACAGTGCGGGCCCTCCGGTCGCCTAAGAAAACCCCTGCCTCGAGCGCTTGGGGTTGGGACACACGGTTCCTGCTGAGCTCTTGGTTCCCTCGCTTGCTGCCGGCCCCCGGGGACGGCGGGGGGTCGCCGATGAGCACACAGCGGTGGGAGACGGGGGAGAAGGCGTGAGCTCGTTCCTGCCTGTCTGACGTTTCTCTCTCTCTCCAGAAATCGCTCGGCACTTCCGCTTTGGGAACCAAGAGGACGCACACGAGTTCCTCCGGTATATCGTGGACGCCATGCAGAAGGCCTGTTTGAACGGCTGCGCCAAGTATGTGCCTCCTCTGTCCTGAGGGGCTTCAGACCCTGCTGCCGTGGAGGCAGCCGAAGCCCGTTCTCGGGGAGGCAGGCGCGTTCCACGGACACCCGGGTCAGGTCCCGCGCCTGCTGGAGCTCTGGTGCAGGACCGTTCCCGCAGCCCCTGCAGCTCCGCGCTGGGATGGGGGGCGGTGGCGGGCGCCGAGGGGGAGCCCCATCCCCGCAGCTCGCTGCAGGGAAAACGTTTTGGCAGGTCCTTCTGAGGGCCTTCAGCTGTTGTCCTGGACTCTTCCCATCTCTTAAAAACCACCTCGTGCTTGTGAGGCAGGGTGGGTGGTAGGGATGCCAGCGTCTTCATGACAGCGCGGGGACATCTGAGGGCGGGAGGTGTATGACTGAGGCTTCATTCTTCCTGGTTCTGATGTCTTCATTTCGGACTGGGAAGCAGAGACAGACGCATGTGACAGGTCGCTGACTTCCTGCCTCGTCTTCCCTTTCGTGAAACAGTTACGGTCAGGGATGTTTTTGTAGCTCCTGGCGCCTGGGTTCAGACAAAGGGAAATAGGCTGAAAATGCTCCCTGTTCCAGGGCTGTTGCTTGGGCTTGGGGTAGAACTGAGTCCTGGAGTCTGGAAATGCTCCTTAAACAGCTTAAGCATCCGGAATGTCCTTCAACAAAGTCGAGTAGTAGCTGTGATCGTGGGAAACCTCTGGTCTCAGTGCTGCGGTTCTTTTTAAACCCTGAGAAAACGTCCCATGGGTTCCTCTGGCATCTGTCCCTCGCTGTACTGAGATGTGTATCGAGATCACATGCTCTTCGGCTTCAGTCCCCACAGGCGGATGGACGCTGGGGCTGCCCTTCTGTGCCTCTCCCCGCCCTGGGCTCTAGCTAACGATGTGAGCTCTTTGCCGATGTTCCCTGTGTGCCAGGCACTGGGTTTGCACTGAGTACTTCCAGGTGAAAGACTGGGTTCTTGGGTGGGAGGAGCTCAGAGAGTGAGGGATAAGCCAGATATTGGCCAGTGTCTACAAGGTCACGTGGTAAGTGCTGTAGCGGAGCAGCCCTGGGAGCTATTCCCAGGAGAATTCTGCTGCCCTCTTACCTCCGGGAGGCCTTCTAGGAGTCCCTGCAGGGCTGAGATGGGGGAGGGAGGCGGTAAGGAGTGTGGCTGGTCCTGGGGGAGGCCTGCAGGTGGGGAGGGCGTGGCCTCCCTGCCACGGAGGTAGGTACAGCACGTCCCCAGCAGGAGTTCCCAGCCCTGGTCATACAGCAAAATCACTTGGGAGGTTGAGGACGGCAGCTGACTGTGCCACCATGCCAGCCTCATTACCTAGATGCTCCATGGATGGGAGAATCTGGGAGGGATGGGCCGGGTTGGTAGGTGGGATGGATAGGTTCAGGGTTTGGGCCTGTGGGCGGTAGGGTGGAGTCCATGTGTGTCTTCTGGGCAGCAGGGTGGGTGGCTATGAGCCTCCCGTGGTCCGGGGCACAGTAGTGGCCGGGCGTTGGCGGAAGGATGTGCGTGGCTGACGTCAGGTGAGCCAGGCACGGCCAGGCCCCCGTGCAGGGGGTTATGGGACGCTTTCCGGATACCCGTCTGCGAGAAAGGCATTGCTGCTCTTCGTGAAATGAGAAGAAGTAAGAGTCGTGTCCGCTGAACGAGCCAGTTTGATGTGCGGGTGGAAGTGACTTTCTTTCCTCTCGGTTCTGAGACTGGATGGATGTGTGGGCAGAGGGCATATTCATGCTATTTCTACTTCGTGGGCCTCGCTCGTGCCGGCCCTGTGACCGGTGTGCACGGGACCTGACCCGGCGTGCTCTGCGTCGGCGGGTGGTCGGGTGCCCGGCCGCCTGCCCGGCCGCCTGCCCTGCCATACTCGCTTCCTCTGCCTCGGTCTCTGCGCTGGGCCAGAGTGTTTGGTCTCCTCTCCCTGGCAGGTGCCCGCCTCCTTGGGCCTCCTGGAGCTTTTTCTCTGTAGACGCGGCTGTGGTCACATACCCACACGGTCCCATCTTTGTTGAAAGCCTGTCGTTCGTAGGCAAGTTCAGCCCTTTGCATCTGTTGTGACGACTGGAGTTGGGTCCTGACCCGGCCGTGATGCTGAGGCTTACAATGATGCCACAGCACGTTGGCCGCGTTTCTCCCTCTCCGGTTTCCCTTTGCGCGGTCGTGTCTTAACTGCTGTGCGGTGCTCAGAAGACCTGGATCTCCGATCCGGTCATGGCCTCGCTTTTCTCTGGACCGTGGCTCTGTGTGTCAGTGTTTGGGGGCCTGGCACCTCCATCCTTCCGTCTCCGCCTGCCTCTTAGATGCTTTACCTCTTACCTTACTGTGTTCTCCTCCCGTGTTCGTCCCCAGCTTTGCTTCAGTCTTTCCCCCACTCAGTAAGCCCGGGGTGGGTGGACCTGTCCTCCTGCCAGGGCTTCCCAGGCAGCCGGGGCTGGGGGATGCGGGGTTCCGGAAGCCCGAGGCCAGTCCCTCTCTTGACCTTGCAAGGACCTTACCAAAATGATTCAGGATCATTTTTCACCGTTTAAAGCCCGATGATTTCACTAAGGAGTGTCTTTAGAGCGGACCGTCGTCGGTCGGTTTGGCAGACACCTGACCAGGGACGTCGTGAGGCTGCACCTGTGGCCCCGTCTACTCGGGCTTCGTGGGCGCAGATACCGTTTCTGCCAGCCCGGGCACGTCACTGCCGAACACCGTCACTTGGTTTAGCTCACTTTGAGTGCTGTGGCTCGAGAGCGCAGGACGGTAAATGGGGCAGATGTCGTGCATCCGTGTGTCGTGCCCCCAGGTGCGGTTTCCCTGGTGGGGTGTGCGCCCTGCCTCTTGTCCTCAGCAGGGACACTCGCAGTTGTCAGAGCCCTGTCACCTCCGGAGCACGTGACGGTATTGGCTCGGTGTCAGAGGCCTGCGTCAGGGCCTCTAGTCACGGGGGTCTCCTACAGGACCACCTTTGCTCTGACAGCCTTGTTTTCCTTGACCTCCCCTCTGGCTGCTTTCCGCCTTGTCGCACCCTCCCCCACGCCCACTTGAATCTCTTCTCGCCTGGGCCCCTTGCCTTCCCACTTCGTTCCCAGCGTGATTTCGTCACTGCCCCACATTAGTTCACTTTCTCCATCTGCGAAACTTGTCACGCCGGTCTTTTTCTCCCCGGACACCTGTTTGAGGGTTTTTAGGTGAGCTGGGGATCGCGTCTTGCTCTTTCTGTCTGCCTGGTGCTTGCTTCCGGGGGCTGGTCCTCACAGACGAGGTCTGTGACTCTTGCTCATGTCTTCCTCTGCCGGTGCCCGGGCGGGACTGAGGCCACTTCAGCACCACCCCTGGGTCCAGTGGTTTGCATGGGTCTCGATCCAGGGTGCCTCGTGTCCCAGAGGCTAAGCACTGGACGGCCCTTGGTGTGGCCTGTGTCTTAGGACCCGGCAGGCTCCTCCTTCTGCCGGGCTTTCCGGGTGACTCCGGGGCTGCCTTTAGTCCCTGGTCTCTCCCTCGGTGTTCCTGAGACCAGCCTATATCTCCAGCAGGGCTCCTGCAGGACTGCTGAAGGCAGCTTGCTGGAATCCGGCTTTTTTCCTCCTGACGGCTGGTTTGAGCTTGGAGCTTGCTCTGCCTCGGGGTCCCGAGAGCGGGTTCTGTGCGATGGTTTGCTCCTCCTGTTCTAACGGCCGGGCCAGGCCTGCTTGGGGCTGCCTGGATTTCAGCAGCTGCCATCACATGTGGCGGGCCACAAGCTTTCCGTTTGTGCTGAGGTCATGCCCTCGATAGTTTGGGGAGTGAAAACGGTCCTCCTCTTGGGACACCTGGGTGGCTCAGTCAATTAAGCTTCTGCCTTCAGTTCAGGTCATGCTCCTGGGGTCCTGGGATCAAGTCCTGCATCGGGCTCCTTGCTCAGTGGGAAGCCTGCTTCTCCCTCTGCTTGTGCACTCGCTCTCTCACTCTCAAATAAATAAATAAAATCTCAAAAAAAAAAAAATTTCTCCTCTTGACAAACGGCAGTAAAAATACATGGTGGCAGTTAGTTTTTTAATTTTGCAAAATGAAAGTATGTTCTGGTGTGGGTCCCCCACAATGTGCAGCCCCGCTCATCCGTGAGCTCCTGGAATCTGGGCTGCACTGTCGTGCCTGGTCCCGTGGCCAGTCCCACACACTGCAGGGGGAGCCCAGCGCAGGGCACCATGTGGTTTACGCACGGGGTGGGGAGGAGAGCGCTGGGAGGGAGCACTGCTGAGTGCCTGGCCAGGCCCGGGAGTCAGCAGTCAGGAGGCATCTGCAAAGCTGGGGGCTCAGGGGGCCCTGGCAGAGAGGGGAGCGTGCCCGCGAGGGACCAGCTGCTCTGTCCAGGGCTGTCGTGTTCCAGCACAAAGACTACAGTCTACTGGATTTGTGTCCCAGAGGAGACTCTGAGGGGGACCGTTTCCGAGGAGTGAGTCCGAGCTGGATTCCGTGGGTCGCAGGCGGATACCAGGAGCAGAGGCTAGAGACAGGGTGGTGTTTGCAGAACCTTTGTCACATGAAGAGCTGTGCGGTGGGGGTGCTCGGTTTCGCGGGTCTGTGGGGCAGCTGAGCAGTAGCCGAGGCCTAGGGCGGCCTCAGATCCTGGCTAGTAAATGGGGCTGGGGATTTGAGTATAGGCCGGCCTGACCCTGGAGCCCTTGCCGTGACCGCTCCTGTCCTGCCAAAAGATACAGAGGTGGGGGTTTGTCCCTGCTCGCTCCTCTCTTCAGATAAGAGGCTTGGGCGTGTGACGGCAGCCAGGAGCGGGGCTGACTACAGGACTGAGGTGGGGAGCGCTGGGGGGCAGGTGAGGGGGGCACCGTGTCATTGAGACTCGGTGCACTAGGTGCGTTTCCCCGACCGCTCGTTCCCGTGCAGTGGGGGGCGAGGAGCCTGCGGAGAGGGTGAGGATCTCGGACGTCTGAGGTGGTGTGTGGGGGGGTGGGCCAGGCCCATCAGAGCGATGTGGCACAACGGGGGGCCTGCCCAGAGCCAGGGCGCGTGAATCAGACCCATGCTTGTGTGGTGGGATTCCCTAGGGGCGAGCTGGGGTGGGGATGAAAGGGGCGGGGGGCTGCCTTCTGTCTTTCTCTTGAAGGCTGTGGCCTCCTTTCCAGGTTGGATCGTCAAACACAGGCGACTACTTTGGTCCATCAAATTTTTGGAGGCTATCTCCGATCCCGTGGTAAGTGAAGGCTTTTCTCTACCTCTTTGTCGAAGATAAGAACATGAACCAGGGGAGACTAGGAGTCCGTGGCCAGGTGGAGCCCCTTCCTGGCGGGCAGACCTGGGGTAGCCACAGTGGCCCCAGCTTCCTCTAAAATGCACCCTTGCCCGTGGGTTGCTGTTCCCGGGAGGAGGTTTGGAGCAGAATGTCCCGCATTGGTAGAAGAGGGTGGCATTGTTTTTCCTCTGAGTTCCTTAGTTCTTCGTGGATGGCCTTTACCCAGCTGGGTACTCAGAGCTGCCAAGGCCACGGTCAGGTCGGTGACGGACGTCCATCACTGGGCTGGGCAATGAGGCGCTGGGTTTGACAGACGTTCCCTTGTGGACTCTGGTTGTCAGCGAGCCCGCTCTCCAGACACTGGGGTTCACGAGGGACTGGCTAAGTCTTGGGGACATGGCGGGTGGCGCGCTGGGGGCACCTGCAGCCGCCCCACCGCCTCCATGTGCTGTTGCAGTGAAGTGCTCGGTGTGCAAGAGCGTCTCGGACACGTACGACCCCTACCTGGATGTCGCACTGGAGATCCGGGTACGGACCACGGCTCTGCCGTGTCGTGTTTGTCCTTGGCCGGGGAGGCTGGGGGGGCGCGGGGGAGCCAGTGAGGGCGCGTTCACTGGGCAGATAAGGACATACTGCAGATCCTCCTGCCTTAAGGTAGGGGCCACCATTTTTGCACATGGATTTCTAACCTTTTCCCTGGGCGCATTCACACAGGAAGATAAAGTGCAGCTCCGTGTCCCGAGGCACGAGCACACGGTTGAGGCAGGACACAGAGCTGCTCGCATGGGGGCTGCGGGGAGGCCAGTCCCCGTCCAGTTCCAGCCCTCTGGCTGCAGCCGGGGCGGGGGCCTTGACGCCCGGGGTGCGGGCTGCTTGCTGGGATTTGCTGCCTCAGCCTGGAAAAGACCTTACACTTGGCCTGTTCAGAATCCGCCTCTTCCTCGGGTTGACGCGGCCCCCTGTGCTTGTCCTCCCAGCAAGCCGCTAACATCGTGCGCGCTCTGGAACTCTTCGTGAAGCCAGATGTCCTGAGTGGAGAGAACGCCTATATGTGCGCCAAGTAAGTCTCCTTTTGCCCCGGCAAAGCGGACCCGCCGTCGGGAGCACCGGAGCCTGCCTGACCCTCTTGTGGCCGCGCCCCCCACTTCTCGGGCTGCCGTCCTGTCCCCAGAGCGGAGCGTAGGTCCTGACGCAGAAGGCCCGGCGGGCACGGGGCTCGGGTAGCCGCGGCATTGCTTGAGAACGTCTGCGTATGTTGCCCATGGGCTGCACCAGGAGCGCCCTCGCCGGGGACGTCTGGCCCAGCGTGGGAGGAGACCGCATGTGGCCGCGCGCTCCAGCCGCTCTGCCGTGCCGCGTTCCGGGGGAGCTGCCTTCGGGGCCCGGGTCTCCTGAGGGCCATGCAGGCTTCCCATGTGGGCAAACAGCTCATTTGCAGCCGCTGGAGAATAGTTCCCTTAGTTACGCTTTTCAGGTTTATCATCCCGCGCCAAAACACTGCCTCCCCCCCACCCCGTAATTCGTCTCTCTGTGCCCTAGAGGCTGTGTGCCCTCCTTCGTCCCCCCCGCCCCCCCGGGTCACCCCGTCACTCTTGGTGCTTTCGCTCGGCCAGCCCCGCTCCGGGTGCCCCTGCGGTCTCCCAGGGCTGCTGCCCGTGTGTCAGACCGAGTGCGTTCTCTGGGGAACAGCTTCCTTGTTGCTCTGCGCTGTCCTGCTCCCCCCCGGGTCCTTGGGTCCCCGCGCCGGCTGTCCTTCGCTTAAGTCCCAGGGGTTGTGTCTCGCTCAGGATGTACACGGCGCGCGCCTCAGCCGGGGAGCCCCTGTGCCGACAGCAGGTGTCGCCGCTGTCGAGCACCGGCTCGAGCCTTTCCCACGCGCCCTCCTCACAGGTGCAAGAAGAAGGTCCCAGCCAGCAAGCGCTTCACCATCCACAGGACATCCAACGTCTTAACCCTCTCGCTCAAGCGCTTTGCCAACTTCAGTGGGGGGAAGATCACGAAGGTGAGCCTTCGCCCTGGTGTCCAGTCGCCCCAGCACCGCCCCAGAGCCAGTGCCCGAAAATCTCTGAAGGCAGGGCTCAGGAGTCTGTGTGTTCGCAGAGTCCCTAACTGGTTGTCACACACAGTCAAGTTCAAGAACCACTGTCTTTTTTTTTCTTTATTCTAGAGATTTTATTTATTTGACAGAGAGAGAGCGCACACAAGCAGGGGAGCAGCAGGCAGAAGGAGAGGCAGGCTCACCGAGCAGGGAGCCCGATGCGGGACTCGATCCCAGGACCCTGGGATCATGACCTCGGCCAAAAGCAGACACTTAACGATGGAGCCCCCTATGCTCCTCAAGAACCACTGTCTTAACTAGTTTATTTTTCCCAGCTTCTGCATATGTGCGGCATGTTCCCAACACACAAGCTCACGGTTTCCTTAAGGATGAGCACAGACCCTGCACTGTGGGGCTCTCCTCTGCCGCGTGCTGTTCTGTGGTGAACATAGATGCAGTTGTGCACTGTGGCTTTTTGTGGAAGGCGGGGCCAAAACTTTCTTCAGTACAATGGCATTTTATTTATTTTACTTTATTTTTTTAAGTCATCACTCTACCCCCAACATGGGGCTTGAACTCACAACCCTGAGATCAAGAGTCGGACGCTGCCCCAACTGAGCTCACCAGGTGTCCTGCACAATGGTGTTTTGATAGAAGATGTCATATCATAAAAGTGGTTAGAACTGACTTAGATGGTTTGGGGCAGGGCACTTGTCAGAGCCTCCACTTCCTCACTGGCGGTGGCAGGGGCTTGCCTACATCAGCATTTCCCACGCTGGTTTCTGCAGAATGTTAGCTATATGTGTACAAGATAGTGTGTTTTGTACTTAAACTGTGCTGTACTTTGAAAGCAGTCTGTGCTCACCAGAGTTTGGGAACTGCCAAGCTGAAGGGCCTTTTTTAATTGCAGGCCTTCTCAGAGCCTTTATTAATCATCTGTGTTGTATTTTGAATCTTCGGGAGGAGGGAGCTTTATTGTCAAGGTTTTGTTTTTGTTTTAAGATTTTATTTAAGAGAGAGAGAGCAAGTGGGTGCACACAAGTCGGGGGAGAGGGGAGGGTGACAGAGGAAGAAGCAGACTCTTGTCCAAGCAGGGAGCTCGACACAGGGGTCAATCCCAGGATCCCGGAATACCTCAGGATCATGACCTGAGCTGAGGTCAGATGCTCAACCGACTGAACCACGCAGGTGCCTCTTGTGAAGAATTTTCTGAAGTTAATTGTGTGGGGTCCATTCATGCATTCGTTTCACTAACCGTGAACGAGCTTACATCCTACCGTGTGTGCAGTGCATCAGGGAATGGGATGCCGCCGGTGGTCGATGAGATCGTTGTGGTTTCACCTTGACATCCCCTGGAACTAGTTTTCCGTGGGAACAGTTTGAGAAGCTGATTTTTGGCGTCCTGTATGTGGCGAGATTACACTGGGGTTCGTGATCTTGTCTATATTGGCTTTCGAGACTTCGAATTTGTCACTGGAAGGAGGAAGGTCCGTAGGGTCAATACCGCAGATGCTATATGGGCCTAAAGAAGCTAGACAGCACAGTACGTACTCTGTGTGTCCGGGTGTGAAGCTGAGAGCAGGCAGAGCTGATCAGTGACGACAGAAATCACAGCCGTGGGTGTCTGAGACGGGGCCATTCTGCAGCACGTGAGGGAGTTTTCTGGGTTGATGTCTGTGCCCTGATGGGATATGGGTTACATTCATGCGGTACTCTTCCAGCTGCACCCCTAAGAGCTCTGCAGTTTACGTAAATTATACTGTTTATTTATTTATTTTAAAAGATTTTGTTTGATAGGGAGCACAAGCAGGGGAGCAGCTGGTGGGGCAGAGGGAGAAGCAGGCTCCCCACTGAGCAGGGAGCCCGATGTGGGGCTCGATCCCAGGACCCCGAGATCATGTCCTGAGGCAGACACTTCACTGAGCCACTCAGGCACCCCTAGACTTCATTTCTACAAAGTCAGAATGTGTAGGGTGCCTGGGTGGCTCAGTGAAGCATCAGACTCTTGTTTTCAGTTCAGGTTGTGATCTGAGGGTCTTGAGATCAAGCTCTGCATCTGGCTCTGAGCTCAGCAAGGAATGTGCTGAAATTTCTCTCTCCCTCTCCCTTTGTCACTCTTTGCTTGCTCTCTCTTTCAAAAGAATCTTTTTCTTTAAAGCGCGTATAGACAGAAACGAAGGTAGATCTCTTACCATTCAAAAATAATATTTGAAAATACTTCCCTTTGAAAATTGTCAGGTGGTTTTTTTTTTTTTTAAGATTTTATTTATTCATTTATTTATTTATCTATCGAGCGTGAGAGAGAGCATGAGGGGGAGAGACTTAGAGGGAGAAGCAGCCTCCCCACCGAGTGGGGAGCCCGATGCAGAACTTGGTCCTAGAACTTTGGGATCATCACCTGAGCTGAAGGTAGACACTTAATTGAGCCACTCAGGGGCCGGAAAAATTGCCAAATTTAGAAGTAAACTCTGGCATGACCTTTGTCCCGACCCACGCAGCTGTAGTTCTGACTTACCGTGATCGTTGGCTCTGTGGACTGATCGCCTTTTTCTCTGAAGACCCAGACCCGGGCGTCGCCTCCCTGTTCCTCAAGTGGTGGGGAGGGCCTGAGCTGTTCCTCTCACCTTACCCGTGGGGCCTGCATGGGGTGACAGTGGCCGTGGATGTGGAGCAGGGAAAGGAGTAGGTCGTGCAGCTCTTCATGGGACGATAAGATAGGGTTTCACGTCAGTTGGTTGGCTGGTTGGTTGCCTCCTGTTCTTTAACCTTTGACCAGGGGGCTTCTTGGTACAGCGTTGCCGCAGGCCCGGTTGCCCCCAGATGATCCAAGACCAGCCGAGGAGTCGTGCATTTTATGTGGCTGGAGCGGGTGAAGTGACCCTTTCCCCCACGGATGAATTTTCATTGCCTTATCCTTGGCTTTCCCTACAGGATGTGGGCTATCCAGAGTTCCTGAACATCCGTCCGTATATGTCCCAGAGCAGTGGAGAGCCTGTCATGTACGGGCTGTATGCGGTCCTGGTCCACTCAGGCTACAGCTGCCACGCCGGCCACTACTATTGCTATGTGAAGGTCAGCGGCCCCACGTGCGGGTGGTTCCTCTTGGTGCAGTTCCAGATGTGGCCTCCGTGTCGTCGTGTGCGGGGGTCCATTGTTGCCTCAGGGAATGGAGGGCAAGGATGTCTTCAAAGCCCATCCCACCAGGAGCTGTAGTGCCCCTGCCCTCGGATGGGACGCCAGAGAGGGCTGCTTCCGGGGCCCGATGCTGGAGCCCAGGGATATTGGTGGGAGATGCTGGGCCATGCAGACCTGAAATACCCTTCAAGGGGAAAGCTCACACCTGTTGGGGCACCAGGAAGGAACAGGGGTTCAAAGCGCACTTCGTGGTCCCATTCAGAGCCGGGTGAGCGTGAGACATTCTGCTGCTCACTCATTAGCACGTGGAGAGATGCGGCATTTCTCCACAGATTTTTTAGTTCTTTCTTTAAAAACTAAGGATTATGGGATGCATGCTGATCGTCCCATTTTGTCCTCCCGCGCCCTGTGCTGCTGCAGGCAAGCAGCGGACAGTGGTACCAGATGAACGATTCCTTGGTGCATTCCAGCAACATCAAGGTGGTTCTGAACCAGCAGGCCTACGTGCTCTTCTATCTGCGGTGAGTGACGCCTGCCCTCGGCCCGTGAGCGCTGGCCCTCTGCACTCCCCAGCCTGCTGCTGTGTGGGCGCAGTGGAGACGCGGGAGGGGAACGGGCGGCTCTCGTCCTGGTCATGTCTCGGGGGTGTTGGGAGTGTCCCCGGGGAAGTGCTCTTCTCGACCACGCCAGCCCAGCTGAGCGACAGCCAGTGCCTCTGGGAAGGTCCGCAGGACTCCCTCCGCCTGCTCCACACGGAGCTGATGTGGAATAGAAACGGGAAGTTACCTCTTTCTGCTGTTGCCACAAACGAGATGCGTTGTGTGTGGACGGCACCGATGCACTTTCCTCTGTGGCCGTGAGGGGCCCTGCCAGAGCCAGGAGGTCGCGGCCAGGTACCTTCCCTTGGGGCCAGTCGTCAGTGACCTGGAGATCAGAGGACATGGAGGCTGAAGGCCTTTTTACTGCTTCTTAGCTGTTCTGCTAAATTTGGGCGCAGCGACTCAGGGGTCCCTGGCTTTCTGGTAAAGCGAGAATCCCATCTCAGAGGACCCTCAGCTGCGTGGCCCATCTCTGGGGCTCCGTGACACGCCCGCGCTGTTGCCAGGGCAGCGTGGGAATTCAGAGAAGCTCGCCTGGGGAGTCGGGGTTCTCTGGGGACACCTCTGTGGCTTCGGTAAGAGATCTCCGACTCCAATTTCTTCCTTTGACAGAATTCCAGGCTCGAAGAAGAGTCCTGATGGCTCCTTCCCCAGGACTATCTCCTCCCCTCCCGGCCGTCCAGGTGTGGGTCCCGACCATTTGAAGAAGAACGTTGGCAATGGGAGCGTTGGCTCCCCGCTGACTGGAAAGGTACATGTTTCAAAAGATCTCTGTTTATGCAGCGGACCTTCTTGTCTGTGCCTATCAGGGGACCGTGGGGCCCCCAGACCTCTTTATGCTCGGGTACTCAGCCTGACGGAAGGAAAGCTCAGTGTGTCCTGTTTTATTCCATGTTCTCTCTCAAATTGGTCAGGAGCTGACATCAGGGATGGAGAGGGCGGTGGGAGGAGACACAGTGATGAGAAAACCTGGCCAGTGAGCGGACCAGACGGTGGCTCAGCGTGCCCCTGTCCCGGGCCAGCTGCTATGCGCACTCAATCCGAAGCATCTGGGAAGAAGTGTTTTTTATCCTTACAGTTTAGTATTGAAAATGTGGGAAGTCTCTAGCAGTGTTCATTTCCTGCTTTTGATGATTATGTTGCGGGTGTGTTAAGAAAACGTCCTCGTTCTTAGGAACGTACATGGGCATACGTAGGAGTAGGAGTAAAGGGACATCATGTCTAAAATACATTCAGATGGTTCGGAAGAGAAACGTCACACATACGTGTGTAGACACGTGGAGTGAGTGAGCAAGAAAGCTAGTGTGGTAAAAGGTTAACAGTTGGGAAATATCCTCATTTTCAAGTTATTTTTGTTGGAAGTTGTTTTTGTGTGTATTTGAATTTTTCTACTACAAATCAGTTTTATTAGCAAAGTAGTGAGTGGTTTCCTTACTACAACACAGTTCTTGTAACTCAAAAACAGATTGGTCCTTTTCGCCGTCTGGTCTGTGTCTGATTCTTTCCTTTCAGTCTGAAGGTCAGATCCTAATGCTGGCCACAGGGCCTTCATGGTCCGCAGGGCATTAGTCCTTATGCAAATCCCGCATTTCCCTCCCAGTGCATGAGAAATAGAGGCGTTGGGATTGAGTGTGGCGAGGAAAAGCCATGGCCTGATGGCCAAGGGGGTTGTCACTGTGTTCCAGACTGGGAGTCAGTACCACGGGGCCACGCCACTGGCCACGCACGTTTGCATTGCAAAGATAATGTGTCACACACACTGTATTTGCACAAAAGCCATTTTACTTTTTTTTTTTTTTTTAAAGATTTTGTTTATTTATTTGACAGAGATCACAAGTAGGCAGAAAGAGAGGAGGAAGCAGGGTCCCTGCTGAGCAGAGAGCCCGATGCTGGGCTTGATCCCAGAACCCTGGGATCCTGACCTGAGCCGAAGACAGAGGCTTTAACCCACTGAGCCACCCAGGCGCCCCAAAAGCCATTTTACTTTAAATGACATAGTGTAAGTTCCATAAAGTTAAATGTTTGCATGACAAGAAGTTTTACAGTGCAGCAGGAAGACGTGGTCTGTCTTTTTTTTTGCTTAAGTTTTTATTTATTTATTTGAGAAAGAGAGCATGGGCAGAGGGAGAGAGACAAGCAGGCTCCCAGCCAAGCAGGGAGCCGGACATGGGGCTGGGTCCCAGGACGCGGAGATTGTGACCTGAGCCAAAGGCAGACGCTTAACTGACTGAGCCACCCAGGCGCCCCAAGATGTGTTCTCTTTAGAAAGAATGTAGTAGTAAAAGATAAGTTATTTTTAAAAATAGAGGAAAAGAAAGAGAAGAAACTTGGAGGAAAGTAGAAGTGAATTCTCAGTAAGCCTCCAGAACAGAGAAAACTGTAAGAAAGTATAGAAAGACAAGAAAGGAACTGGATAAATGAAAATTTGAATTTTTGTACATGATACATTAGAAATAAAAAAAAAACTTGTAAAAATATCTGCAGCAAGTACAACAAAAGGTGCCTGTACCTAGCACGTAAAGGACTAGTTCGGATGAACTCAGATGACAGGGTGCGAGGGTTGGTGCACCGAGAGCCAGCCGTGGCGCTGACTTAGCAGAGATTTTGGAGGAGCGCTCCCTCCCCGTCCGCAGGGAGAGGACAGCAGGTGCCCTGCGCGGGGAGTGCCGGCGCCCCGCGCTGTAGCCTAGGGGCCCCCCAGGAAGCGAGCATGGAATTTCCTAAGTAGGGGAAAAGCGTTAGTCCCTCGGTGCTCGGTTCAACCAGATGTTCAGCAACCAAATGGTTCTTAAGCTCTGATTCTGGGAGACCCTGCACTAGGCGGGAGGCAGGGGTGGGGAGCAGCACAGACCCGGGCCGTGGGGAGCGTTTCAGTAGAGCCAGGACTCAGAGCTGGGTGAGTGGAGGACAGGGCGCCATCCGCTCCCGCGGCAGCTGGAGACCGGCCAGGTCGGGGAGACGTCATGCGGCAAGGTGGGTATCGGTCAGACATGAATGACCTTCACCGGGAGCACGTGGGAAGCTGCTCTGGGGAGCCGTGGGTGGAACTGGGCGCAGCCGTGCGGGCCAGAGCTGCTGCGGAGAGCAGGGCCGCTCCAGAGCAGACGGTGCGGGCGGGCCCGTCAGTGCTCATGTTGGGCAGTAGGTGCCACTCTGGGGCTTTTATTTTTTCCTTTATACTTTTTTTGTGTTGTTTTGCTCCTGACAAAAAACATCCTGCTGTCAGTAAAGGGGCCTGTACAGATGCACGCCCTGCGCACACAGCTCACAGGGTACCAGAAGCGCCCAACGCAGCCACAGAGCCTTTCCCGGGTGTCCGTGTAGATGACCTGTCTTGGGCTCTTGGCGGGGACCGCGCCCGCCGCACAGGCTGCTCCGACCTCTTGGGGAGCCGCCGGCACACGCTCCCTCCAGGACGTGATCGTGTCCTCTGCTCTGCTCTCCTCCAGCGACCGGACTCGCTGCCGACGAAGAAGCCGCCGGCCCCCGAGGAGGTTGGTGTGCCCGTTTCCAGAAACGGCTCCGTGTCGAGTCTGAAGTCTCAGAATGGATACGTTCCTCTGAAGCTGTCCGTGGGGGCCCCTTCCCCCCGACTCTCCAAAACACCCCCCCCAACACCAACCTCTCCGGATGAGGCTGGAAAGAAAGTCAAGAAATCGACTCCCCTGCGTCCCCTCTCCCCGTCACGCAAAGCTGCTCAGGGGTTCCACGGGACCAGCAGCGGGAACGGCAGCAGGAGCCAGAGCCCCAGGCAGGGCTCCTGGGACGGCAGGGCTGCCGCCCTCTCTACCTCACCGAGGCTCCCGGCCGGAGTGACTGCCAACGGGCACGGGCCCAGGGCGGGCGGCGAGAACCGCGAGCTCCACGGGAGGGGCTCTTGCAGCTCCAGCCCGGGCCGCTGTGCCAACAGCGACCCCGCCAAGGGCCCCCAAGCACCCGAGAGCGGAGCTACCCGCTTGGGGGATTCTCAGGGAACACACAGAGCACTGCCGGACGGAGACGACTCCAGAGTGGCTAAGCCCAAGGCCCCTGTCCTGAGCAGCACCACCGCCGAGGCCGCAAACAGCATGTCTCCTCCACCCGCCAAAAAACTGGCCCTTTCTGCCAAGAAGGTGGGTGTATGGGAGCCTGCCCGCCGGAAGTGTGTCTTTAGGGCCCACAGAGCAGGTTTGGTTTCAGTCTGGGGAGGGGGGTGAATCGTGTCCGGGCCCTTGGCCACCCCCGATCGGAGGAATGGGGGTCGTGTAGGCATTTGCAGATGACACAGGGCTATCCGGGGGCCAAGGTGGGGCTTTGGGGGGACCCTGATGTGATCCACACGCCGGGCGGCTGCTGGAGGTTGGGGAGAGGCGGCAGGTCCCCGTGTTTGTCCGTAGACAGAATCTCCTAGAGGAGCCTCAAGGGGAAGATGGGGCAGGTGCAGTGGGCTTGGCAGGGAACCTGAGCTCGGGGGCGTGAGGGCCACGGGCTGGCTGGCACCTGTGTGTGCGGCGTGAAGCTCGGTGATGTAATTGTGCTGAGATTTTTGTTTAAATTTCCTTCCTTTTTTCCTTTTTGTTTCTAACCAAAAACACTTCTGATTCTTCTTCTACCATTCCCCTCCCCCACCTCCCCCCTTTTTTCCTCCTTCTGTCCCCTCATCATCCTTTCTGGGCTCTTTCATTTTTATTTTTTGTTTTTATTTATTTGTTTATTTTTATTTTCCCTCTTCACTCACGGCGACCTCTTTTAGACCACCAAGTTTTTATTTATGTCGATAACTGCAGGCCAGCACCCTGCGGAGGGCAGCCGGCAATGACCTCCGTCCGCCCCTCTCTCCACTGTCCGACCTCACCTACCCCAGGAAAACCACTCACCCCGTCGCCGCCGCCTCCTGGCCCGTCTGTGCAATCAGGTGAGCCGTGGGCGCAGGCCCCGGGCCGGCCGCTCCCCCCTGTGCTTAGCGTGCGCTTGGCTGGTGAGGACACATGGTCTCCAGCCTGGCAGGACGGACAGTGGTGCGCCGGTGGACAGGTACAGGGCGGGTCCTGCACCGACTCCTTCCTGTTTTCTCTCTCCATCGGGCAGAGAAGCTCCGGCCGGTCGGAGGCAGCCTGCTGTCTACGGTCCTGATCTTTTCACTTTTGTCTTCATTTTCCATCCACCTGCCGGGTCCGTGTGGGGATGCAGTTGTGCCCTGGAGTCTCTCCCCGGCCTCGAGACAGGACTCCTGAGTAGGAGGGGAGGGCAGGAGTCCCAGGAGGACCCTGTGCGAACCCAGAGTCCTGTGCCCCGCTGAGGGTTGTCTTCTTGCTGCCGGTATCACTGTGTCTCTCCCACCGGCACTCCCCAGGCTCCCCTCTGTCTCCCTGCGGGGGCTCCCCCAACTGTCCCCTCACACTGGCTTGCAGGGCGTTGGGCGAGCGTCCAGAGTGGGGAGCAGTGGCTCTCCGGGACCCGTGTTCAGACTCCCAACAGATGTACCTCCAGTCCTGTCACACGTGGGGATGCTCATATCCCTCAGGGTGGCAACAGCTGAGTTACTGTCACCTGCTTGCCCAGGGGCCGCGGCGGGAGGCTCTGGCAGCTGCGGAGGGAGGGAGGGAGGGAGAGAGGAAGCTGGGCGAGGCTGGGAGGTGGTTTGGGTGGTTTGCTATTTGCCTTGGGCGCTGATTTGTCCTCCCCACCATCCGGCCACCATGGGCCGCCCCCATCCCTGGCCTCTCTCGCCCGCACACTCAGTCTGGACCCAGCACGGTATTTTTACACGTGGTAGGTCCTTAAGTGTGTGAGATATTTACTGTGGTTTTGTTTTTTTTTTTTTCCTTTTTCAACATACAGTCTTTTTTTCAAGCTTCCCAGAAAACAGTATAGGGAATACTGCAGTTTGTCTGGGCGTCTGTCCTAGCTGAGGTCACGACAGTCCTGTTTGATTCTATTAACCCTTTGAGGTCAGCGTTACTGTCACTCGGTTACATATGAGAAGCACGAGGCCTAGAGCAGAAGGTTAACTCTTTCAAGGTCCCATCTGCCGAGAGGCGGGTCACAGAGCCTAACCCGACAGTGTGCCCGTCCTGCCCCACCTCGTCTCACGGTGTGATGGGCTGTAGAGTCCGTTTCCCTGATTTTCCAGAGCCCCTGAATTAGAGGGGAGTCCGAGTGCACAGTATATAGGCCCGTGCTGGCCCCTCTTCATCACGGGGTGAACACTTTGAGGCCTGTGGGTGAACTTAGAGAAGTTTCTTCTAACCCTTGTGCCGGAAATAAAAAACGTGAGTTAGGGGCGCCTGGGTGGCACGGTTTAGTGGCTGACTCTTGATTTCAGCTTAGATCATGATCTCAGGGTTGTGAGATGGAGTCCTGCCTCGGGCTCTGGGCTCAACAGGGACTAGGGGTTCGCTCTGCTTCTCCCCGTGCCCCTCCCCTGCTCTCATGCTTGCTCTCTCCCTCGCTCTCTCTAAAATAAATAAATGTTTTAAAAAAGAAACTCAGTAACTCAGGTTTGGAAAAATACTTTGAACTACTTGGTGACAGGAAACTAAAAGGTTCTGATTTTTGTTAACTTTGATTTTCAGTAAAGTAGAATTTAACTTTTCTCTCTCTTCGAAGTTGGTGTAATTTACGTGTCTCTGAGATTCCCGCGGTGAGGAGGGACGGTTGGAAATCCTTGGCTGGACGGGCAGGGGCTGCGGGTGGGCAGGAGGGGCCTGCCTGTGCGTCAGAGCAGTGTGTCCCCCCACAGGGCGCTTTCACCTGCTCCCAGACCATCCAGCCACCTGAAGCTCCCCGTCGGTCCCCACTCCGTGTCACTGTCCAGTAGCCCCCAACCTCTCGGGACGTCAGACCCACAGAGCTGCTCCTCTGCCTCTGCTCCCCCACCTCAGGCCAATGGGGGCTTCCAGGCCCCTTCACACCAGCTGCCAGAGGCCAGCAAGTCCCCCCGGGGCCTCTGTAAGAAGAGGAAGAGGAACCGCAGGGGAGAGAGCCAGGGGCAGGACTCAGAGATGTGCACAGCCACGACAGCCTCTCCGGGGAAGAGGAGAAGGAGGAAGAGGAAGCGCACGGAGGCCCTGGACGCCTCCCCCCTGCAGGAGGGGCAGAGGCAGCCCCAGAGCGTTGAGCGCGGGAAGGAGGCCCGGGCAGAGGTGCCCACTGACAGACTAGAGGACGAGGGCGGACGGCTGCCGGACAATGGCCGGCAGGTGGGAAGCGTGACTGACGGCCACCCCGTGAGCAGCAAGAAGCGGCGACGGAAGGGCACGGAGGGCCTCGGTGCGGGAGACGGCCTCCAGCGGGACCCGCCGTGGCACAGGTGAGCTCGGGAGCCAGGTGGCCCCGCGTCTGTCCCAGGTGGGCGGTCTGGAGACCCAGCGAGCTGGCCAGGCTTCCTGGACGGGCACGTGAGTGTGGTGCAGCGGGTCACCTGCCCCGGGATCGGCAGGCGTTGCGGCCGCGTCCTCTGGCCTGGAGGACTCGCCTGGGTTTGGTGCAGTTGTGGGGTTCTCTTTCTGACCTCTCTCAGGCTTGACGGTGGCCCTCGGACCGTGGGCGTGCTTTTACCTGCTCGGGTCTGTGGGGTGCGCTCGGGGTGGCTCTTCTGTGCGGTTGAGGCCCGTGCCAGTTGGGAGTTCGAAGGTAGCGACCTGAACCCCGACTCACCCTCAGTTTGCCCGGAACTGACTGTTGACTCTGACCTCCCAGGAGCTGCTCTCCCTCGGACGTCATCGAACTGGAGGCCACTGTAGCGTCTCCAAGGAAAAAGAAAAAGAAAAAAAGACAGCAGGAGTCATGGCAGGAAGTAGAAGAGAATGAGCATCCTGAAGCCGGCAGGGGCGAGAGGCAGAGGGACTCTGCTCTCCCTGGTAGCCCGCCCTCCCCACCTCCGAACGGCAGGCGTCCCGGGAGCGGAGCCGGTATGCACTTGTGAGGAGCAGGGGTGGGGGGCCAGGGTGGCGGGGAGGGGCACCCGGGGGGACACCTGTGCCCGGCCCTGCCATAAGGCTAGAGTAGGTGTAGTGCAGGGGAAGGGCCGGAAAGACCTCTTACCTCTGCCCTGCGTCCGTCCCCTTAGGCTGTGTGCCCTGTGGGTCACAGCTTCCCCATCTGGCGAGGCAGTCAGCCGAGACCACTCCGAGAGAAAACCTAGGGGACGCTTGAACTCCAGATGTTCTGAGAACATAGTGTTTCTTCTGATTCAACACGCTTCTGCCTAAACTTTCCTATTTGGAGGAGTCCTGGGCCATCCAGCCTGGAGTTTTTCCTGTGATTCTTGAACTTGAAAGGTTGGGTTCAGAAGTTAATCTTCCACTGCCCGTTTTAATAGATAAGCCTTTTTTTTTTTTTTTTAAGATTGTATTTATTTGATTTTGGCTAAGATCAAGTGTATGGTTGTATTTATTTGCGAGAGCACAGCAGAGGGAGAGGGCCCCACTGAGCAGGGAGCCCGATGCGGGGCTCCATCCCAGGACCCTGAGATCACGACCTGAGCTGGCTGAGCCACCCCAGTGCCGCAAGTTGGGCCTTTCTGAAGACAGTGTGGCCTCACGCTGTTGCGGTTTGCAGTGCTTGGGCTGCTCCCCCGTGGCCGAGTGACTTTTCCTGGTTGTTTCCTCCAGGGCTGACCAGGCTCAGCTGGGCTCTCCTGATACAGTGTCCGTTAAGCGAAGGGGAGAGACGCTCACCCCTGCTGGGGCAGGGACCTGGCGTGGCCGCGCTGCTGCGAGGTCTGCTGCACAGCCTGGGGGCCAGCTGTGTCAGCATGTGTGCGGGCGACAGGCTGCTGGGGATGGTGTGTGTTTGTCGGACTCCTGATAGATGAGCCTGTGACTTAACATTAATCCCATGACAAGGGGCACCCCAGGGGGTGCAGTCAGTTACGCATCCAGCTCTTGGTTCCAGCTCAGGCCGTGATGTCGGGGTCCAGGCTCGGCACGGAGTCTGCCTGGGACTCCCTCTCTCCCTCCGCCTGTCCCGCTGGTGCTGTCCCTCTCTCTCTCTCTCAAGTAAATCTTAAAAAAAAAAAAAAAATCCCATGATGAAACGCTACCACTGGGCAAGGAGGAACGCGGCCGGTCTTGGAAGAGAGGCTGCTCAAAGGTCGCGCCAGAGCAGACCAGCGGTGGGCATGAGCCCCCGGCGCCCGCTTCGTTAGCCACCGACCACGTGGGGGTGCTGCCCGGGCTTCAGGGCCCACTGCCCGGTGCAGGTGCTCGGGCTGCGGGGGTCCAGCCCCTCCTCTGTTTGCTCTCCGTCCTGACTAGTGAAAGAGTTGTGTCCGCGGGGAAGGGCATTCCCAGCCCAGACACGGAGAGAGCGTCGTGGGCAGCCCCGCGTTACCACCGGGCTGTGCTGTGCTATGGAGTGCGGGGCGAGGGGCTGGAGAGGGCAGCAGGGACTGGTGGTGGGGCATCGCACTAGACACTGGGCATGAAGGTCATGGGGTCATTGAAACATTGGAGGCATGGAGAGCAAGGTCAGGTTCCTGCTGAGGGAGGGGAGCCCGTTCTAGCAGCTGTAGGTGGTTAGCGGGGACCAGGCAGGGCCCAGGACCAGGCAGACAGTCATTTCTGGAAATTGAGGCGGGTGGTCTCTGCTGTCAGCATCCAGCCGTCCGTGGTGGCCAGGCTCTTCCAGGACATGGCTGGAAGATAGCCTCCCTGGAAGCTGTGGTGACAACAGCACTTTGTCATTTCCTCCAGTTCCGGCCACTTTTTTCCTGGCCGCTTCCCTGTGGGAGGGGTGGGATCCCCCTGGAGCTCATTCTCGCTCTTCCTGCACCAGATGGAGGGCTCACACTGCTGGTTGCTGGCTTTCAGTCTTGGGTGGGGGTAGGGTTTAGGCTCTTCCGAGAGCTGATTTGGACGGTAGCCCCCCTTGAGAAGTAATCGAGGGCCCCGTCAGAGGCGTGTGGACCTAAGTGTTCTCTGGTTGCAGGGCAGGCCCCGGCTCCCCTTGGGTCCTGGGACAGAGAGCGGGAGTCCGACGTGCTCCGGGAGCTGCTCAAGTATTCGTCCGATAAAGCTTACGGGAGGAAAGGTACTGCTTTTGAGAAAGAACTTCTGTGCTACGGTTCACTCATGGGGCCGCACAGAGGTCGGGAATGGACCCGTTGTGCCGTGGTCCTGGGGTAGGGGGTCACCGGGCTTTAGGGACGGGGAGAGGAATGTCAGCTGAGAACCTTCCTGAGCTGTGGCCGTTGCACAAAGTGCAGAACCAGGCCCTGAGGGTGGTTTTGCTGCGGAAGGTCCAGAATGCTGCCTCCTGGGGGTGTGGGCGGGGGTGTGGAGAGCAAACCCAAGCCTCTGGGCAGTGAGGGCCGGCGTGGGAAGGGAGTGGATGGGAATCACTGGGGATGGTGTGTGTTTGTCCTTCGTCTTGGAGAGGGAACGTGACTTCTGTCTCCAACGAGCGCACGGGTTTGAAAGGAGCTTAACTGGGGGCCGGTGGTGCAGAGCGGACAACGTGTGTGCTTAAGGGACAGACCACTGTCCTGCACGCGGAGACCACCCTGCCCTCCCTCATCCTCCTCTGCGTGGTCCATTTCACCGAAAGGTGTCCCTCGACCGCGCCAAATGTATCAGGCGTCGGCCAGCGCGGGTCGTAAACGTTCTGGAAGCAAGTGCATGAAGCTGCCAACACTCGGTGTCTGCTTTGCAGTGTTGACGTGGGGCGGCGAGGTGTCGGCCATCAGTCAGGATGCCATTCAGGACAGCGCGTGGGCCCGCACAGCCACGGTCACCGATGACTGGGACGAAGAGTTCGATCGAGGGAAGGTACGGGCTGTGCTTGGATCTGGCGTGATGTGGCAGTCATGGCGGTCCCGCTCAGGGCCCGGCAGGGAGGACTTGACCCTTTGCGGCCGTTTGGAGTGGCAGTGACGCTGCAAAGTGGTTAGGGACCACGGGAGGCAGGCTGCTGGCTCAGATGCCAGTCTGGCCCCTGAGAACGTTGTGGCCGTGGACGAGGCATTTGTCCTGGCGGCTTGCTCCTTTGTCAGCGGGGTGGGGACAGCGGTGACCCTCCCTCAGGCTTACGAGAGTAAGCCGGTTGGTTCTGTAGCACATTGAGAATCGTGTCCCCCACCCAAGAAGCCTTTACAAGGAGGCGCGGGGACCAGGGGAGAGCCCTCTTTGGCAATGGTGACGCTGGGTTTTTTTTATTAGGAAAAGAAAGTGAAAAAGTTCAAAAGAGAGAAGAAAAGAACCTACAACGCCTTCCAGAAACTTCAGAGCAGACGGAACTTTTGGTCTGTGACTCACCCGGCCAAGGCTACCAGCCTCAGCTACCGCCGCTGACGTGGCTGTTGTCGAGGTGGGTTAGTGCGGGGGAGGGGCTGGGGGTGTTAAGTGTTTGTGTGTGTATTGGTGGGGGGAGTCCAGAGTGTGTGTGTGTGTGTGTGTGTGTTAGCATGTGGTAGGTGTGCTGAGGTGTACGTTAGTGTGTGGCACGCGTGTGGTGAGGTGCGCGTTGGCCTGGGGCGCGAGCGTCTGGCGCACGCAGGTGTGTGCGGTGTGTGGGGCAGGAGCGGGTGTGTTCCGAGCACCATCTAATGCTGCGTGTTGTCCCGACGGGCGCTCGGGGGTGTTGGGGGGCTCCCGGGGTCTCGTCCCTCGTCAGGAGCAATGTCGTGTACCCCACAGCCTCCGGAGATGCGTGGCGCATCCTGGGCACCGCCCATGTGAACCGAGGAGCGGCCTGGTTGAGGATCGAGCTGCCCCGTGGCCGCGGAGCTGGGCTTCGCCGCGTCAGGACCTCTGGCATCGCCGCGACGACCCTACAGTGATGTGTGGAGCGGGCGGCAGCCCACTGGCCGGGAGCCTGGACCGCCTTGCGTGTGGTCTCCGGGCAGGAGCAGGGGGCGGTGGCCGCGTTCCTCCCCACGTGTCGTCAAGCGAGCAGGTGCCCGCGGGGTGACAGCAGTGCGCGCCGGGCTCTTCTCGGGGGCTGCCCGTGCCCCGCTGCTGGCGGCCAGCGCTGCTGTCTCTGCCTTAGCTGTGCCCTCAGCACGGAAGCCCCGGGGCGCCGGCGGCACGTCCCTCCCTCGCAAGGACTGAGACCGTCTCTGGAGAGCGAAGGCTCTTTTGGGGCCAGGGGGGCGATGGCGGGCCGCTGCCTTTCCCGCGGCTGCCGATGCTGAGGCGGCTTCGCCATCCCTTCCCCTGCAGCTGCCACGACCCATGGGGCTCTCGAGGTGGTGGTCTTGGGGTAGAATCCTTTTATTTTATTACTTAACAGAGACTTTCGTTGTGACGCGGTCTGTGGCTTCTGTCAGCAATACGTTCCCTTTCCCTGAGCTGCGACACCGGCTTGCTTTGCTCTGTTTTGTGAGCGCGCCCGAGTCTAGCTGATTGTACCCTCGCAGTCGTTCTTTTTCTTGCTCAAGCTGTGCGTGCGAACTCGTAATTCAATAAATACGGAAACCCTCGGTGAAGGTGACATTTTCCAGAGAACAGACCCACGACCCAGTCGCAGAGGGTGTAGCAATCAGTCCAAAAGCCACTCCGCGGACAGATGTCTCCGCGTCCTCTCATCCAGAACGTTGGAAGTGGACACAGACAGGCATCTGACGTGGACGTCCGTCCTCCACAGTGGTTCTTTGTGGCCTGAGGCCCCCAATGGCCTGGCCTGGCCCCCCTGTGTCACCTGAGCCTTGCCTCTTGCTCGGGGCCTGGGGGCGGGGAGGATCAGAGAAAAGTATCCTTCACGGGGCAGGGGTGGGGACATATGTCAACTTTCTCATGTAGGTTCTTTTAGATTTTTCTTCATGTTCTTACATTTCTCTTCGCAAACGTGGGGAAAGTAGTGATGCCTGTGGCCCGAGCGGGGGCCCAGCAGGAAGCGAGCAGGGCACTGGCTGCGGACGCTGGCATGGGAGGACGGATTTCTCTGCATCGACCTCCCCTTGTTCAAAGATGAGGGTCGCCCCCCAACCCCCCAGTGCCCTGTGGCTCTCTTACCTGCCACTTCCGAATGGAAGGCAGGTGCCTTTGTAGGCAGGGCATTGGTTTTTTTCCCTCTTTCGGTGTTGACCCTCATCCCCATATGGCCCTGTTTTTTGGTGGTGTTCTCCAGTGGAAGCGGAGGCCGGCGTCGGCCTCACAGAGCCCGTCTCTTTTCTCGCTCCCTCCTCTTCAGGCTCCTCCCTTCTCCACTGTGTGATTATGAAACCTTCTCCTGAGGAAAACATGCCCATTGCGTCTTGGGCGGTGCTGAGCACGGCCTGTCAGCAGCATTTGTCACTGTTCCATTGGGGCGGGCCCTTCCCTCCCACGCACGGTCCTTAGCCCAACTGGGGAGGGAGAGGATGTGCCCAGAGAATCAGTCCAAACCCTAGGGCACGTGTAAATATAAAAGTGTATATAAATAACTAAAGCTTTTATAATAGCGATCACGTGGGTGACTTAGAATGTTGGTTTAACTTAACTTTATGGGGGCGGGGTCACCTCTCCTGGTGGTCCCATGTGGCCTCACTCACCTGCCTTTTCCTGGTAGGCTCCCTCCGCCACGTCCCCCTGCGTTGCGCCTCTGCTCCAGGCACTGAGGCTTCCCCGATGTTGCCAAGATCCTGGTGCAATAAAAGGAGTTTTTGTGAGCCCTGCCTGTCTTTGTGTTTTTTCCCTTTGATTTTTAAAAGTTAATGTCCCAGCTCCCAGTTCAGATGAAGGGTTCCCCGGGGTGCCCCTTCGGGTAGCCTGTCGTACGCGGGCAGGTTTGGAGCAGGTCTTCCTTAAGGATAAAGAGGAATAAAGTGATTTATTTAACCGTATTAAGTACATTCATTTGAATTTAAGAAGACAGAGGAACCCTTTGAAGGGGCCACCACACTCGCTGGGGGCTCGCAGTAAGTACTGCTTTGAGGAAACTGGGAAACCGTGTTCCACTGAGATTTGCTGCTGCTTGAGTTTTTTTACTGAATAACATTTGGATTTCCGCGGGGAAAGAGAGGGAGAGGACAGTTTTGCGAAACTGAGTTTTGCTCACAGTCGGCAAGAGCAGCACAGGCCTCCTCCGGTTTGAGACCCTCCCGTCTTGGCAGCTGTGCCGCCAGGAGCCTGCGTGGCCACGTGCTGAGCACCGCCCGCAGCCCCTCCGGACCCAGGCGGCCGAGCCCAGGTCGTCTCTGGGGCACGCTGGAGGCCGTGCTGAGGAAGAACGTGTTTGTGGGCTCCGGGGAAATGTTCCGGTCTTGTCAGGCCAGGCCATCTGCTGAGCGGGAGGGTCAGGGTCCGGCTGATAACGTGTCCTGGAAGTTGGGTGAGGCCAACGGGGCAGCAGGTGCCTGCAGGGATGGCCGGGACCGGGAGGTTCCATTTGGCCAGAGCAGCACCCGGAAGTGGGAGACAGAAGCAAAAGCCACCCCGGGCAGCGGCAGCTTTCCAGTGGGTTCTGTTCCGGACACTGCATGGACACCACCGGGCAGGCCCATCCCCTGAGTGCCACTGCTCCTTCCTTTTTCTTCCCTTCAGTGTCTCCGAGCTCCCACCCAGTCGTGCCCCTCAAACCCGGGGACTCTGCCCTGTCACTGTGGGAGCTTAGCCAGACAGCAAAGTAGGAACAGGAGAGATGCGGACACCCCAGACCCAAACAAGCAGGGTGCCTAGTCGGGCGGGAGAGTGTGGGCTGGCAAGCCAAGCTCATGTCCACAGCGCCTGAGTCAGGCTGGGCCGCGGGAGGTCGGGGGTCCCCTTCTGCCCTGGGGCACAGTCATCACGGGGGCAGGACCATGGCTTTCTCCTCGTTACTTTTCCAAACGTTTGCACTCGAGCTGCGTACACGTAAAGATGGACGTGGCTCCATTTCTCAGGCAGCTGTGGTCTCCAGGGTGGGACCCGTGGCTCTGGGTGGCAACCGCAAGGAGTGTGTGGCCGGCCCTGCCTCGAGCGCCACCGGCCAGGCAGGGCCCACTTGAGTGTCCGCTGACACAGCGACAGCACAGGCGATGTTGTGGTTGACAGTTTCCGTGTGTACTACGGTCTGCCGGCCTCGGTATGTCGAGAGCCCCACGACCTGCTGTGCGACTTCCGCCAGAGCTGACCAGGTCTGCGGGGCTTCAGACTCTGGAGGCTGACGGCCACGCGGAGGCCCAGGAGCTCGAGAGGAGGGAGAAGCGCGGTGAGGATGACCAGCCCCCAGACCAGCCAACAAGGGCTCCGGCTGGAGTGGACGCTGGCGCAGCCGTGGGGAGGTGGGGTCCCCTGGGTCTTTGGAGACGGATCAAGAGGAGACGTAACAAATGGAAGGTCCGGGGTGGGGGCAGGACAGCTCCTGGCTTGGGTGGGCAGGTGAGTGGCAGGGCCAAACAGTGCCAGAGAGGCAGGTGGGTGAGAGATCCCGCACCCCCGCCATGCAGCCAGGCCTGGGGAACTTGCATGTTCCCAGACGGAGGGAGAATCACAGGGGGGAGAGGTAGGGGAGCTGCAAGCCCGCAGTCCAGGTGTTCGCCGCCCCCCACCCCTCCCCAGGAGCCGGCTGGGGTCCCTGTAGCAGCCAGTGTGCCCTCCAGCCCAGAGAAAGGCCAGAGCACCAGTCCCTGCCCTGAGTCTGACTAGCGCGGGCAGCCTCAGTGTAGACAGGACTTGGTGGCACTCTCCAGCAGGGTGGTTTCCCCCTGGCCCTTCCCTTCCCTTCAGTCACCCTTGTGCTGGGGCAGTGGCCGCCGCGCGGCACTCTCCTCGAAGACCGTGCCAGTCACAGCGTCCCGCTCCTCCCCGACGTGGGTCCGGACCAGCTGCCCATCTTCCTTGGCTCTGCTTGCCCCGGAGATCTGTTCCTCTCCCAGCCGCTTCAGCGCCCATTCCAAACACGCTGGCTCTCCTCCTTCCTGTGTGCCGCTAACTCTTGGCAAATGGTTTCTAATCCCGCTCCAGGAATCCCCTCCCACTCCAGAGTAAAACAAAACTCGAGGAACCACCTTCTCTCCATCGCCATCTGCTCCTGTCTCCCCCTAGCCTGACGCTTCCAGCACTCGGGGGGCAGCAGAATCAGCTGGGCAAGTTATTTAGGACTGGTATGAATGAAACGGGAATCTGGGGGAGAGGCTTGGGCCCCGGCATGTAAAACCTTTCTGTGTGATTCTCCCGGGCGGCCGGTGCGGAGAAGCGCTATTCTGGTCCCGTGCCTCAAATGAGAGCGAGCATCAGAATCTCCAGGGGGTCGTCCCAACACCCACACCGCTGGGCCCCTCCCCCGTGCAGTCTGATTCAGCCGGTGGGCCGGGGCCTGAGAGCGCGCGTCTCTCACATTCCTAGGGCGCGGGTTCTGATCTGACGGTTCTCGGGTGGACTGGTCAGCAGGGCCGGGAGTCTAGGAAGGCAGGCAGAGGTATGGACGGGA